TCTTTCAAGCAGCCCCACTGTAGAGCTCAGAGGCCCCTCATCCAAACCTGCTTATCAAGGTAATCAGGAATGCCACCTCAGCACTTTGGGACCATATGTGGGTGCTATATCAGCAGCAGCTGCTGCTTTAGAGAGCAGCCTTGTCTTATCAGCCATCATGGGCTAACTGCAAAATCAACCATAACCAATTGTCTTGCTTGTAGCTCCTTAGCGGCATCCGTGAAATAATGCTATTGCTTTAATCATTAAAGTTTACTGCCTAATGATGTGCAAGCTCATTGATCATGAGAATGTGGGAGGGAAAGGCCGTGCTCAGTGGAAATGTTTTTCCCCCATTTTTTCCTACTGGAACTTCCTTGATGGAAGGAACCATGTATGTCCCTTAACTCACACTCAGGAAATCAATGCTCCCCGGATTTTTGCTTCCTAGGAATTAGACAAACATGGCTAAAGAGTGCTGCAAATACACAGTCTCAAACTGTAGTTTAAGGGTGGTATCTTAATGCAATTGTATTCAAGTGCTCGTGGGTATGGTTGTGGCATATGTGTGTACAGTGTGTGTATCCACACGTGTGTGTGAGGAAGCTAGAGGTTGCTCTCTCTACCTTATTTTATGATAGGGTCTCATTGACCTTGGAGCTCACTTATTTGGCTAGACTAACTGGCTAGCAAGCCTCATAAGCCCTCCTGTCTCCAATGTCTGAATGGTGGGAGTACAGGCGTGTGCCCCTGTGCCAAATGCTGGGAGTACAGATGTGTGCCCCTGTGCCGAGTTTTTAAAATGTGATTGCTGGGGATAGAATTCAGGTTTTCATGCTTGCATGGCAAGCTTTCTACCAACTGAGCCTTTATCCGGGCTCCCATTCAAGCACTTTGTAAAACATGCTGTTCTAGGCACTAAATTCTTAATTCTTAAACAAATAGGATAATTATCACAGACCTGTATTGTCTACATCTGTGACATCTCTTTGTGGTACTGTTCACTATAAATCATAACCATAAGGACCCTATGTCAACTCTTTTCCTTCGGGAAGTATATGTACTACACATATTCTATACCTCTAATACCATCTACTTATCAAAAAGAAAAAATGAATGGCCACTGGTTAAACTGATGACATACATTCATTCAGAATGTTTGAAAACATTTTACATAATCAAATGATCTTATTAGGTAAAAGTTAATATCTGTGTAAGCTATGCAAATTGACACATTAGAATATTAAAGCAAATGCAAAGTTATATCAAACAGTGTTATTTTTGAGTAAAAAGGCACATCAGTCTCCTTCAGTAACAAAACTAAAAGAAACCAGCTGGTCTCCACAGAGTAAACTCCTGTTCTTGTTTTGGTCTACTTGCTGTGCAATTGAAAAATATTGAAAAATAAATGATTTTTCAAGTTACATATTTGCACAGATTCTGAATAAAAGGCAGCCTTATATTTGGGTTGGGAAGTTGTCAGACAGGTACATTACCTCAAGAAGGACACTGTAATACCCATCTAAAGTGATGAAGGCCAGGCGGGTGGTGGTGCATACCTTTAATCCCAGCACTCAGGAGGCAGAGCCAGGCAGATCTCTGTGAGTGAGAGGCCAGCCTGGGCTACAGAGCAAGATCCAGGACAGGAACCAAAACTACACAGAGAAACCCTGTCTCAAAAAACAAAAACAAACAAACAAAAACCTAAAAAATAAAAATAAAAAAATAAAATGATGATGTTTCCTTTTTTATTTCTCTTTACTAAATTTGTATTTCAGCACACTACATTTCTTGACAAAACTGGCATGCACCTCTCTGTTGTTTGAGCAGGAGGAAATCATTAATAGGAAAAAGAGTCATTGAAAATGGCCCATGTTGTATATAATTCCTGAGATAAGTGGGCTGAGTAACCCATGTTTCTGTTGTGAACTGTTTTATGCTGAAACGTGCATTACTGAACCCATTTGTTGAACACATTGAAAGATCGAACATCTCCCGAAAGCAACCCTGGAAAATGTTTGTTTGCTGTTCAGCTCCTTCCTCTGCTCAGAGGAGCTTGTTAGATATTGTTTCTGGGTTTCCTGGAATCCATCACGTTACAGGGGGAAGAAATCATAGATGAAGAAACAAGAAAAACAGAATTTACAACTTATAAACACACATTTTTCAATAAGATCATAAGAAAATTTAAAACTGCATACATAACAGAAACCTCATGTGAGAAAGCATATAGAACAATGTGGTAGGTGACGATTTCTTTTTCTATCATAAAGATCCTATCCAGCTGAAGAACACGAAAAGCACACTGGCCATTATTAGGCTTTAAGGATATGAATGGAATGCCTGTGATCAGGATGGTTAGAGGGATGATGTTCTACCCTTCTGATTCCATCAGTATGTATCGTGGTTCACAGTGTAGAAAATAATATACATTTGACTGTGGTCTTTTAAAACATTGTTGTGTATTTTTGTTGTTGTTCTTTGCTTTGTTTTTTGTTTTTTTTTGGTTTGGTTTTGGTTGGAGTAATGTTTTCTGAAAGATCTTATTCTTTTTTTTTTTTTTTTTTATTAATTTATTTTGCAATACAATTCAGTTCTACATATCAGCCACGGATTCCCTTGTTCTCCCCCCTCCCGTCCCCCTCACCTTCCCCCCAACCCCCCCCCCCCCATTCCCATCTCCTCCAGGGCAAAGCCTTCCCCACAGACTGAGGTCAACCTGGTAGACTCAGTCCAGGTAGGTCTAGTCCCCTCCTCCCAGGCCGAGCCAAACAATCCTGCATAGGCCCCAGGTTTCAAACAGCCAACTCATGCAATGAGCACAAGATCTGGTCCCACTGCCTGGGTGCCTCCCAAACAGATCAAGCCAATCAACTGTCTCATCCATTCAGAGGGCCTGATCCAGTGGGGACCCCTCAGCCATTGGTTCATAGTTCATGTGTTTCCATTCATTTGGCTATTTGTCCCTGTGCTTTATCCAACCTTGGTCTCAACAATTCTCGCTCATATAAACCCTCCTCATTCTCACTAATTGGACTCCCAGAGATCCACCCGGGGCCTAGTCATGGATCTCTGCATCCAGATCCCTCAGTAGTTGGATGAGGTTTCTAGCACAACAATTAGGGTGTTTGGCCATCCCATCACCAGAGTAGGTCAGTTCAGGCTGTCTCTCGACCTCTGCCAGCAGTCTGTTGTGTGGGTATCTTTGTGGATTTCTGTGGGCCTCTCTAGCACTTTGCTTCTTCCTATTCTCATGTGGTCTTCATTTACCATGGTCTCCTATTCCTTGTTCTCCCTCTCTGTTGTTGATCCAAGATCTTATTCTTATTTTATGTGTATTTGTGTTTTGCCTTCATGTATGTATTACAACACATTGGAGCCTCTAGAATTACAGACAGTTGTCAGCTGCCAGGTTGTGCTGGGAACTGGACCTGGGCCACCTGCAAGAACAGCAAATGCTCCCAAGCACTGAGCCCTCCTCCTCAGACTCCTGAGTTGGAGTGATCCTATGGATAACTAATTTGATGCTCCAAATATTTCTAACAAGAAAAAGAAAAAACAAACCTCTGCTGGGAAGCCAGCAGAAGAGACAAAGACTAGGAACTACAGCAGCAGAAGTGGGAAAAGAGGAAGTTTTTCCAACACAAGGGAAGTTTTTGTCGGTTGTGGATGGTTCTTATGGTCCCTTTCCTTCCTCGGTTGGTTCCATTTATCTAGAATTAAGTTGGAAGTCACATACAGGGAAGTCACATGCATGGGACTGTGCACCCAAACTTGCCATAAATTATTATTGTGACGTCAGGCTTCTGGAAAGGTCTCATAAATACAGAATTAGAAGTCAGGTGACTAGGTAAACAGCGTCTTTCAGCTAGATGCAAAGTGAGGACTACTAAGAGGCAGGCACATGCTGAAAAATGGAAGGGAGTGAAAACTGCCACATTGTACTACTTGGGGAAAATTTTGCCATGAATAGTAGGAAGGGTATGAAAGGCTTTGAAGGAATGGGCGACAGTATTTCCAGAAACAAATTGTGGGTCTGGGGTTGGTGTTTCTAGCACAGTGGAAGCAAGCTAGCATGGTACAGAGCGCTAGAACAGCCCCAAGTGTTCTCCCACAATGTTCTTGAATATAGACAACAAAAACTGGGCAGGCTGTGAGGCGAGTCTGCCTGGGGATAGTAGATCACTGAGATGTGATTGGAGCCATTGTATCATAAAGGGCATGGCAAGAGCTTAAGTGGGGAGTTAGCTGAAGAATGAAATCGTTGCACACTCTTTCTTCGTTGAAGTTGGTGAGCAGGAAACAGAAGGTGGTGACAAGGTGGAGGGGTGCAGCTGTAGACAAAGATGGTGACTGAGAATGGCCATTCCAGGACTTTCAATAATTGTATTCACCGTGATCTTGCTATTGAATACCAAAGTATGGTGGAGTTGAAGGATTACAGGTATCTGGATGATAGCTATAGGGGTTAAACTTCATGGATTATGAATTTTGTAGCTGCTAGATGTGATGATGAAGAAAGAGCATGTGTATTCTCATATAAAGATAGAAGTGGGTCTTATTTTTAATTAAAAAATTGTTTATTATGAGTGTGTATAGGATGTGTGTGTGTGTGTGTGTGTGTGTGTGTGTGTGTGTGTGTGTGCATGCATGGTGCGGAGGTCACAGGACAGACTTTCAGGAATTGGATGTTTCCATCCACCGTGAGTTCCAGACATCAAACTCAGGCCTTCCGACCAGCACGTCAAGTGATTTTACCTACTGATCCCTTTCGCTGGCATAAGGTTGAACTTCTAAATTATAGAAAGAAAGATCCCCAAAGGACCAAAATTTATTTATAAAGCATTCTTATAATGTGTATCATGAGACAATATTTCCCAGATTTATTTGGTTATTTTTCATTCTAATGCTGTTTTTGACAAGAAAAATAAGTTATTTTGTATTCTGACTCAGTTTTTTCCTGACACAATTTTTGAAGTATCCTCTTTTCTTCTGCAACCTTTAAAATGTCAGCAGGGGCTGGGGAGTGACTCGGCGTGTAAAGTGCTTGCAGCTCTACAGAAGCCCAGCACGCACGTAAAGCCGGATGCACTAGTGAATATCCATAAGCCGTGTGCTCCTCCAGAGAAGAAGCAGTGAGGCAGAGAGAGGAGGATTCCCAGAAGCTCTCAGGCCAGCTAGCCTGCTCCGTCTCAAACAAGGTAGAAGGTGAGGATGGACATAACCTCCGCACACAGGTTCTGGCATGCATGAACACATGCACACACACATAGACCCATCATTCAAACACACACACACACACACACACACACACACACACACACACACACACACAGACATACAAATACACACACATGCATGCACACACAAAAAATACCTTAAGAATTCTGCTTGTTTGGTTTTAGTTTTGTTTTGTTTTTTTCAAGACAGGGTTTCTGTATGTAACAGCTCTGGCTGTCCTGGAACTCACAGAGATCCATCTGCCTCTGCTTTCGGAGTACTGGAATTAAAGGCGTGTGCCACCAGCACCTGGCTAAAACCTACGAATTTTTTAAAATGTCACACAGAGGAAGGATGTATTTTCCTACTATCCTATACATCAAGAATGAGATTTGATTGGCAGAGCGTCTGGAGAGTGTTATTTTTTCAAAGGACTCCTCTGTGTTGCAAGTGGTAACGTCCTCCTAGTTTCCCCCGAGAGACTGTGCTTCGTTCAATTTAATATTACTCATATAACCATAGTCTTGGACTAACTTTTGAAACATCATTATATGAAGTGTGTAGACTGTAACAGATGTAATTACTGAATTATCTTTTGCATTAGGATAGAGAATATACATTTCCATGCATTTCCTGATAGCTGAATACTGGTTGGCTAGCTTCATAGACACAGGCGTTTTGATTAGTGGAAAGCTAGTTTTTGTTTTTTGTTGTTGTCTTTTCACTTGTAACTGCCCATTTTAAGACATATAAAGTACTATTTAAACCACAATGTAACACGTTCTTTCCAGAGAAGTTCTTTAGTGAAGCAGTATATGAGATCAGTAAAGACTGATGCTTAACCCTGTCCTTTACAGTTAAATGTCAAAAGGCACCATGATGCTTCAGCATAACTCTCATCTGAAGCAGATCACCTGACAGGTTTCAAAGCTGCAATATCCTGTGCTCTGTCACTAAGTGCCAGCGAACCCCATTTGTTTATTGGGGTGAATATGTTATTTTTCAGTTATTGTTTGAACAAACTAAATTAATGAAATTTCAAAATAAGATGTCACTATTCCTCGCTTTCCTTCCATCCTCCTTGGGAAGGTGATCTTCTTGCTGGATTCTTTTCTTAGCCTGACTCTGCCTGATAGGAGATCAAAGAGCTTTTGTTTTTCTGTTTTCTGTATCAATTAGGCTGGCTGTCCTGTTTCAATGAGATTAAGTAGCCTTCGGAGAGGAGAGACACCAGGGAGGAGGGCGATGAACTGATGGTGACCACACAGTCTGGCTGTCTTAATTCTTTCTGAATGATGGTTTGTCTTGTTGATGACTTTCTTTATGATTGTGTCTTGCTCATTTGTTTAGGGCATTAAGGCAGCACACAGCAAAGCAGATAATCTGGCCTTTCTAATAAGGCTGGAGGGACATGTAAGCTCTTCCCTAAATTTTACATCTTTCAGATACTAGAAAAAAAAAAAGCCTAGGATGTTTTTGTATGTTTAGTGTTCTTGTTACATGGGATATGCACCAAGTACTAAAATATCTTATCCCAAATAAATTCAAAATTCTATACCCAGTATTTGCCCCCAGAGTTGCTTGAAAGCACAATGATGCCAAGGGACTGTTGTGCCCCAGCGGCTGAGCAAAGCTGTGTGAGCAGCTGGCGCTTATGCTATACACAGTCTCCGTATCGGGAGTCTCTCGCCTGAGTGTTCCACTGCCATGTTGAACTACTTTTTCTTGAGATAAGACTTTTGTTATCTCACTAGAGAGAGTTGAAGCGATGCTTTCCAAGGAGCAAACAAGGCAGTGGTGTCTATTATCCACATTCTCTCTGCACACTTTCTCTCTTGACATTCAAGGGTTTCTTGCCTGCTGCTTCTCAAAGGAAACAGAGGTCACCAGGCATAGACTCCTTGGGGTTCACTTTCCTGGTCATCTTTCCACTTCCAGGCTTAACTCTGGTCTTAGCTATTACACCTGGTCCGCCCTATAAGAAAGATTTCTACTGCTTGCTGGAACACCCTCAACCTGTGCTCTGAGAGATCTGACTTCCCCAGTTATCTTCTCTGCACCCGAGTTTTTGCTCATCCGTTCTGGTCCGGCTTTCTGTGGATGGGACACAACAAAGAAACTAAAAGCAGGAACCCACTAAAATAGCCATTTTTCCCTAACCCGGAATCTTCTCTTGCTGGGCTAAGTACTTAACAAACAGATTTATGGATTTGTTCGTTGCTTGTTTTTTTCAAAACAGCGTTTCTTTGTGTAGCCCCCGGCTGTCCTGGAACTCACTCTGCAGACCAGGCTGGCCTCGAA